TATTCTATTCTATTCTATTCTATTCTATTCTATTCTATTCTATTCTACTCTACTCTACTCTACTCTATTCTTACCCAACTCTTGGATGCTCCATAGATTGTTACTTAATTCCCCATAATTGGGTGGGTTGCATGTGATATTGGAACATACAGAACATACAGATGGATATTTCTTACCTGATGGAGATTGACCTCAGCATTCAGGATTTCATCGATATCAGGCTGTGATAGGGAAGCCTTGTGGTGGAGAAATTCAGAGAACGTCTCATTGACAACCAGAAAATCCTGAACTTTGACACCTGCCGGGCAATTATGAAGTAAAATCCATGACAAAATAAAACAATGAATTTTTAAATGACGTCAAAGTCATTTTAAAAAGAGGTCTACATTAGTATAGTTCACTAGGTTAATAGCCATGCACTCATCTTTAATAATCCTGGAATCTATCATCTCTGGCAAGGAACATAAGGAAAAATATAGGGAAGAAAATCAATATTATATTAGCTCAATGGTTTGGGTGATGAGTGGGAAATGCTTCAGAATTCAGAAAGGAAAGAGATTTTTTTGTTTCTATCTATCCATATCAAGTACCGCTAACCGTTCTCATGTAGTGCAGCCAGTTCAACACGAGGAGATATCAAATACACTGTACAGGTAGTCTTTGATTTATGACAATTTGTTCAGCAATTGAAGTTATAACAGTACTGAATGGATGGTGGTTATGCCAGGTCCTTGGAATAGCCCCCATGGTGACATGATCGTGATCGGGGCGTTTAGCAATCTGCGCTCAACTATGACTAGTTGACTAGTTGAGAAATAGCCCACAATCACATGTTCCTGCTGGCTTTTCCAGAAAGTGAATGGGGAAGCTGGCAAATCATTGGGTTGAGTTTCTTCCACCCACACATTTGTCCAGCCACTATATGATCATTCTACACTGGCTATTCATACACTCCCATGCACTCTCCTCAATCCACACTGCATCCCCACATCCCTGACCTGAGCAGCACCTTTCATGCATCCTTCTCGACCTGTGCATCTCTGCTAAGTCTACCGCCACACCTGCACCCCTTCCCCCCACCCTCACTCCCTACCCCACCTGGCAGTAGACAGTTACCAGCCTGCTAGCCTGGTCCTGCCAGTGTACTCACTAACTTTGGTTGTGGGGAGCCGTCAGAAAGTTGCCTCAACTAACAACTGTGGGATTCAGTTAATAAAGGCAGGAATTGCCTTCGCTAAGTGATGAGGTTGTGCTAACCGCATTAGTTAGTGATGGAAATTTTAATTCCATTTGCGGTTGTAAATCCAGGATTACATGTAATGCTAAAAAGCAGAGAAAAGAAAAATAGGCATAGTCCTGACTTACATTAAAGATTGGCTTGCACCACTTAACTTTTGGGATGGATTCAGAAAGCTCTGTGGAAAAAGTTTTCTTCCCCTCTCTACAAGCAAGGTTCTTCCATTGCCTCTGGCCTGAATCACTCTATTATGTCTCCTTCTAACTGTGTCTCTGACTAAGGAAGACAGTCTAATCTCTAACTCAGTACTGTGGTTTTATTTAAGCTGCCAATTCAGCTGAAGGGGTCTTAAAACCTTTTGTAATTGCCTACCTGATAATTTTTTTAGAAAGTTAATTAGGGCATGATAGGTATAAAATTCAAAAGAATCAGAGTGTAATTTATGGGTTTTATAAACCTCTTTCCCAATTTTTTAACCACTTAGGCTGGTTACAAGTTACTTTTGGGGAATGACATCTAGCGGAAAAATAATTAAAACACTTTCAGAATTACAGATAATGAAGAAAGTATATAGGTTTTCCTTTCCTTGAATGTACGAGAAGATCTGTATATCTGAAAAGGATTAAGCCCGCCCTTGAAAAACCACCAGGTCCTCTTTGAATGGTTTCATTTGTGTTCCGTTTTGCTTTGCTGTTTTCACTATGGAAAATCCATAATTATGCCGGTAGGAATGTTAAGAATTGCCATCCTGGCATTTTTGAAGAGCACCACACTGGAGAAGATACCTTAGCAGTGTGCATTGGGTCACAGAGGTAGAAAAAACATGTCGGATCTTCAGGAAGACTAGCTGGCTTTTTTTAAAAAAAATAATAATCTGCTCAAAGGGTTTATAAATATATAAAATGCTCAAAAGTGTCAGGAAGCCTGGAATGAGAATCCCAAAACCTGCAGAGGAGGAATGGGTCTCTGTACAATAGGAGGAGTGGAAAGAAAGCAGAAATTCCACAACCTAAAAAAAAGGGGGGGGGCTATCCTCTCTCTTTTTGTGCCATTCCAAATTATTCCTGTCTTAGTCAGACCCAATTTGGCAGACACCAATCCGGTAGAAGATTATGAGGCGAATAAGAAGGAAAAAAACCCCACCATTTTCTCGTCTTCGGCTCAAGCATGAAGCTTCTGGGGTTACTATCGGTCAATGCTCTCTCGCCCAGTTAGTTCCTTGTTCCTTCTTTTTTTTTTTTTTTTTTTACAAGCAAAATAATCACTCTCAGCAGATGGTTTGAGACAAAAGGCTTGGCTAAAGCGGATGGGAGGTTACTTGAGGATGAAAAACCCTTTTAGAGCTATTTGTCATAGTCTCGAGTCAATTCGATTAGAGAAAAGAGAAGAGGAGGGGGAAGAAGACGTCTGGGAAGAAAGTTAAAAAGAAATATTGTGGTGTCACAGAAAAGAATAGATCGGTAACTTGCTACCCTCCAGATGTTTTGGGGCTTCAATTCCTATTATCCCCATAGGCTCAGTAGCCGGGAACTGTCTCTTTCCCACAACTTTAGTGGGAGGGATAATCCAATTATGGAGCTCTAAAATAAGTTTGATTTTAGTCCTGAAGCATCCTTGCGCCACTGGAAACAAGCTGTAATGTAAATACCCAACTGCAAACTTCTCTGCTATCAGTGAAAAAACAACTTCCTCTCTGGATCACAAAAAAGCTGATAGGGGGGAAAAAAAAACTTTAAAAAAATTTCCATTCCAAAGACATCCATGCAGGAAGAGGCAAAAGAGAGGAAAATTACAGCAGCATTACACCCATGCAATGCAAGCTCCATTTTTTTGACACCGTGCATGTATTGTTCTTGTATATAACAAAAGACATGGCGCTTATTATTTTGACGAAGATGGTGGATCCTCTACTCCACCATAATATATTAGGGATAAATAATTGGTTCTAAGTGGAAATAGTTCAATTGCTCAAATTCTTGTACCCCGTCTCTTAATAAATCTTGCTAAAGAAAACTGCAAAAATCTTGCACGGCTGGAGGCAGCTGTCAAACAGTCACAACTCTTTTCCCCTTTGCTAAACTGGGCATGGGTGTGGTCAGAGCGTGATGCATCTGGCCTGCGGTCCACAAGTGTGACACCCCTGGTCTACAGAGATTACGGCAGAACTAGTTAGATTACTGAGTTGCAGAAAAAGCTAATTATGCAAGGGACTAGGAACGGTCACATAGGATTTATTGGATATGAGATCAAAATTCAACTTGAGACTAAAGATGCATCCATACATAGAGCAAGCCCAGACTATTAAGTGCTTTGACAGGAAACAAGATAAACAGATTCCCAGCAAGGACAATGCTTATTTATGACTCTTCAGGAAGCCACAAAAGGCCATTTTAAATAGAGATTTTTTTTGCTACCACCAAAGGTGGATTAATTGTTTCTGTTTTTAATGATATGGTACTTTGATCCTAACACTGTAGTTAGTTGCAAAGTTTCCAGAACTTTAGGTGAAAAAGCAAATGTTTTTTAAATCTCTACAGCGATTTTAAAAAAAGGTAGAAAATATGAGACATGGACTTTTGTTTTTATCACCGCAGTGATATTATTGTTTGCTCAAAGAGTGGAAAAGCTCAACACTATTTTACAACAGAGAAATGGTTGGTGAAGCTAATGGAATTTGCAGAGATGACTAAATTGACTATCTTAATTAAAGAAAAGACAACATCTACATTTATGGGTGACTGGGAACCCCTTAACTTTTTGCACAAAATGGAGAAAAAAAAGCGCACTTACAACTTGTGGCTCGGATGATCAGAAGAAAAAAAAAGATAATAAAAATGTGTGGGTTCTTTTTACAACGATAGAGTAAAAGACGCCTTTTAAATTAAATTTTAAATATTTTTTAAAGATACCTGTATTTGCTGCAAGGGAAACTGAAAGTTTCTTCTATTTATTTTTTATTCCTTTCTGCACTTTATTTCTTTTCCCCCTCTTTCCTTTATTTTTTATTAATCTTCATTAGTTTTTATTTTCTCTTTAGTATATATACATACACACATGCAAATATAATTATATTTTTTGTACATAGATAAAGATAACAGTTCCCATATCCAGTCATGTCCGACTATGAGGCAGTGCTGATCTCCATTTTTTAGCCAAGGAGACAACATTGTCCAAACACATTTATTGGTCATGTGGCCAGCATGACTATCTGCTGAGTCACATAGAATGCTATTACCATCCAATAGCAATGGTACCTATTTATCTACTCGCATTTGCATATTTTTTAATTCAGGCAACTAACAGGAGCTCACTCGATTATGCAACACTTGGGTGTTTCCAGCTGCCAAGCACATCATCTTCAATGACTGAGCCATCGCATCTGAGAAATATACTTATGTTGCAACTGAATGAAAACAGCTTATCCTAGATGATTGATGCATTCTCATATTTCCAAAGAATACCCCTACTGTAGACACAAAGGATTACTCAGAGAGTCTGGGAAAGGAGCAGAACGTTTTAACTAGTATAACTAACAGAAACAATTATTTGAATCCTAGATCAAATACATGCATATTTGTAATTTCTCTTTCGCTAAGCTCTTGATTCAGACTCAGCTGCCTTCCATTACTGGGGAATCAAAATTCTCATTAAAAGGTAAAGTTATATCATAAAATTGCTAAGGTTCAAAAACCACTGCTCTAAATGCTGTGAATTTCAAGATACATCAATACCAATCAGTTTGGTGCATAGCAAGGAATGTGTAGTAATATCTGAAACATTTTGGGGAGAGAGCAATGCTCTAAATCAGAAGTGTCCAATTGTGACAACTTTAAAGACTTCTGGACTTCAACTCCCAGAATTCCCCAGCATGGATTGAGGGTTGTAGTAGGAGGGGGGAGACTTGGGCTGTATTTCGCCTTCGACCATAAAGGCTCAAAAGATGATTATGAGCCAAGCATGTTTTCCATCTAACCCGCCAGTCCCCAATCTTTCTAGCTTGGCATCCAGGCACTGTGTGTGTGTGTGAGAGAGAGATGGGAGTGGCAGGCACATGCATGCACATA